ACCAAACACAAAACACTTGTAGCGTGTAGGTAAATAAATAAATATAAAAAATATTTTTTTAAAAAACAAAGACTCAAATACAAACAATTTGCATTTCTATTTTAGACTAAAACTCTTATTTGCGACAAGAGTGCCAGGGAGGGAAAAACAAATTTTCAATTTTGTTTACTCGTGTTTTTTTTTATACTTCACAATTGTTTGTTTTGCGTATCAAATGGCCTTTCGAGTTAATTGCTTAAATCAAAAATGGAACATGAAGCTAACTTGATAACTGTAAAAATAGGTAGACGACGTCCTTGGCTGTGTTGTTTAACTTATTTAAAATAGACATTTTCTTTTTACGAGGGAGCTTTTATATTGAAATTGGTTTCGTTGTATATGTTTATTCTACAGATATAACAATGCTATACCATTCCTATGCTGGAACAATTAGAAGATAGTCAAAGGCATTCTTGTCGAATAATAATTATCTCTTCTTAATCTGTTATCAATACGTAAGATATGATTTAAGGAGAGAAATAATTAATATCGTTTTATTTCAAAATCTTGCAAAATCTCGAAAGAGAGAGAGAAAAAAAAAAGAGTGAGTGAGAGACAGCAAGATAGACAGAAAAAATAAGAGCAAGTAAAAGGTAGAAAGAGATAAAGGTGAGGAAGGGAAAAAATAAAGACAGAAAAAGAGAGAGAGAGAGAGAGAGAGAGAGAGAGAGAGAGAGATGGCGGGAGAGAGAGAGAGAGAGAAAGAGAGAGAGGGAGGGAGGGAGGGAGGGAGGGAGAGAGATTGAGAGAAAGAGAGAGAAAGAGAAAGAGTGAGAAAGAGAGATATATACAGACAGATAGACAGAAAAAATAAGAGCAAGTAAAAGGTAGAAAGAGGTGAGGAAGGGAAAAACTAAAGACAGAAAAAGAGAGAGAGTGAGAGAGAAAGAGAGATAGGGAGAGAAGAAGAGAGAGAGAGAGGGAGAGAGAGAGAGTGAGAGAGAGATAGACAGATAGAAAAAATAAGAGCAAGTAAAAGGTAAAAAGAGATAGAGGTGAGGATGGGAAAAAATAAAGATAGAAAAAAAGAGAATGAGAGGGTCAGCGACATACTAGACAGTGAGTGTGTGAGAGAGCGCGCGCGCGCGTGTGTGTGTGAGAGAGAGAGAGAAAAAAAGAGTGAGAGAGAGACAGCAAGATAGACAGAAAAAATAAGAGCAAGTAAAAGGTAGAAAAAGATAAAGGTGAGGAAGAGAAAAAATAAAGACAGAAAAAGAGAGAGAGAGAGAGAGAGAGAGATGGCGGGAGAGGTGGTGGGAGGGAGGGAGGGTGAGAGAGAGAAAGAGTGAGAGAGAGAGAGAGATACAGACAGATAGACAGAAAAAATAAGAGCAAGTAAAAGGTAGAAAGAGATAAAGTGAGGAAGGGAAAAACTAAAGACAGAAAAAGAGAGAGAGTGAGAGAGAAAGAAAGATAGGGAGAAAGGAAGAGAGAGAGAGGGAGAGAGAGATAGACAGACAGATAGAAAAAATAAAAGCAAGTAAAAGGTAGAAAGAGATAGAGGTGAGGATGGGAAAAAATAAAGATAGAAAAAAAGAGAATGAGAGGGTCAGCGACATACTAGACAGTGAGTGTGTGAGAGAGAGAGCGCGCGCGTGTGTGTGTGAGAGAGAGAGAGAGTGAGAGAGAGAAAAAGAGAGAGGGGAGAAAAAGGTAGAATGTGAGAGTGACAAAAAATAGAAATAAAGAAATAGAGTGTGAGAAAGTGACAAAGTAAAAGGTAATAAGAGAAAGAGTGGAAGGAAAAGCTGAACACAGACTCTTCTGTTTGAAGAGGAACAATAAAGGCAGGAAAAGAAACATAAAGAGAATTACAGAGAAAGTAAGCGATTAAGAAAAAGTTAGCGGGAGAAAGGATAATGATATAAATAAATAAAGATAGACAGAGAAAGAGAAAAAAAAGATAGATTGGATAGATAAAGAATCAAGAAAGTGAACAATAAAAAATAATTGATTGAGAATCAGGAAAAACAAACATAAATTTAAAATAACCAAATAGAAAGATAGAAGAAAGATTGTGTGAGAGCGAAAAAACAAGAAAGACGGAGCGACAAAGAGGCAGAAAAGCGTGTGAGAGATAGTGAGAAAAATGAGAGAAAAACCGTGGTTGAGTGAGAGAGTTTTCACCACGCAATATAATTGTATATATTTATTGGTATCTTTATTTCCTTCTAAATTAATTGCGAAGCCGGGCGGATCAAGGTAGCCAAAATAGTAATCATTGGCAAGAACGGACTGACAAATCAACATGCCGAGACGTAATGGCAACATAAGAAATTGACATTCTTCCAATACGGACTATCGCTATCTGTCTTGTCTTATTACTAAATTAAGAAAATTTAATTGTGAAAGAGTAGTTTAAAAAATGACTTTTCAATTTCACTTTTTGCCAATACTTTCAGAATTGTAAAGGCACATTTTGTACACATTCAAAGTGATATACTATCTTACTTAGAACTTTTAAAGAAGAGTATTTATTATATGCGACCCCTCCATTTAACCAATTTGTACTTTTCGCGTACTAAAAATAAGTAGACAAACGATATGAAAATGTCTTTAAGCAAATTAATAATAAAGTGGTTATAAAGGGGAGGGATGTTATCGTAAAGATCTGGTTATGACAAAATTTAACAAAAAACAAAATAGTGACTATATTCGAGAGGGTGGTTTATAGGGTGAAAATAAATAAAAATTATCTAAATATTTTCAATCTTATTTATTGGAATTGTTTTCTCTTTATTATTTTTCTTCATCTTTTTTAGACAAAAGAGACAGTTAACCCCAGTTTACCTTCAGATAAGAAGTTTTATTACCCTTTGATACCACAAGTCTGTATGGTTTACAGTTTCTTTCAGTCGGGATAGAAGATTTTCAACAGTGTAAAAAAATAATAAAACCAATACAATAAAACAAAACGACGATAAAAGCTAATTCAAACTGGGACACAATTTAAAAGAGAATAGTTATTCAGATATCGTGAGATGCGGTCGGGTGTGATGTAGGTTTCAGAAAAACATTTTCTTTATCGTGCCAACGTTTCGATCTTTTATTGAGATCATCTTCAGGGCCTGGGATTTACAAACAATTTTGTTGTATTAGGATGTAACAATTTTAAAAATTGTTTGTAAATCCCAGGCCCTGAAGATGATCTCAATAAAAGATCGAAACGTTGGCACGATAAAGAAAATGTTTTTCTGAAACCTACATCACACCCGACCGCATCTCACGATATCTGAATAACTATCGATTAACGGTCACTAATCTCTACACATTACAAGAGAATGATACTGATATATTGTAAATATTGATCTGAGCCTACACTCGAAGTTAATACATTGCAAGGGACAACTTTCAAATGTGGGACAAAACCAATATATTATTTATCAGAAGCCTTTCACAAAAATGCAAAATAATGCTCTGGATAGTGATCAATTATCTAGTTCTTTACGTTTCGTGTCAAATATAAATTACTGTCGATTTTTTTACCAAAAAAATTATGGCCCATTTTTATTCGCGGTCTATTATCAGACATGATACGATTTATCTATGTTGCTATTTATTATAAACGTGTGAAAGACAGAGCGAGATATAGATAGATAGATGATAGAGAGAGAGAGAGAGAGAGAGAGAGAGAGACCAACCCAACGAAGTACAGACTCACATTCGAACGCACATAAACATACATAGAGAAGACGGATGCTTACATACATAGAGAAGAAAAGGTGTGAGAATTGCTGATTCAGAAAATTGCTGAGATAGAGAGACACCTAGAGAGAGTGAATCAAATACTAAAAAAACTAGTATGAATTAATAATGAATGAAGAAGATAAATAAATAGAGAAAGAATGAGAGAGACTAAAATGAGAAAAGACAGAGGGCGAAAGTGCGAGTAAGAGGCAGGAAGAAAAGTATCGAAAAAACATAGAGCTAAATGAAGGGAGAGAAAGAGATCTAGCTATCTAATAAAAACGGGGAGAGAGACTGATATAGAAAAAGACACAAAGCAATAAAAGAGAAGAGAGAGAAGGAAAGAAAAAAGGAACTTTGAAAGAACGAAAGAAATTGACAGAGAGATAGATAGATAGATAGAGAGAGAGAGAGAGAGAATGAGTGAGAGGGAGGGAGAGGGAGAGAGAAAGAGAGAGAGAGAGAGAGAGAGAGAGAGAGAGAGAGAGAGGGCGGGAGGGAGGGAGAAAGATATAGTGTTAAAAACTGTTACTGGGTTAATAAAGAGTGAAGGCGAGAGTAATAGAAAGAAAGAGAGAAAATGAAAAGAGATATATAGATAAAAAGAGAAACAGATAAATAAATAGATAGATAGAGAGGGAGTGAGTGAGAGTGAGAGTAAGCGTGAGGGTGTGTGTGTGTGTGTGTGAGTGAGAGAGAGAGAGAGAGAGAGAGAGAGAGAGAGAGAGAGAGAGAGAGAAACAGGTAGTGTTAAACATTATCAAACAGCGTTAATAAAAAGTGTAAGCGAGAGTAATAGATAGAAAGAGGGAAAATGAAAAAGATATAGATAGATAAAAATAGAGATAGATAAATAGATAGATAGAGAGGGAGAAAGACTGAGTGAGAGTGAGTGTGTGTGTAAGTTGTGAAAATAAAAGCCCACGTAATCCAAGACAATCCTTTTCTAAACTACTTTTTGATTTATTTCAAATTTGAAATAAATTATCATATTTATAGAAATATTTTTATTTTGTAGGCAAAGGATCTAAGAAAAATAATTACATATAAAGATACCATAAATACGTACTAAATTAAGCTTTTTTGTGTGTTAAATATTCAGTAATTTTCAACGGCAGAAAATTGAAAAAAGCCCATTTTCTAGATATTTGGTATAATATAAAATTATATTCTGTTACAGTCATAAATTTTTTATGTTGATTTTTCCCCAGCAAAATACTCTTTCCTAGTACAAATTGGTAATACATAAATACAAAAAAAAAAGTTTGACTCACTTTTTAGTATTGTTTGTACTTGATCGATGCCCCACGAGAGACTGTTCTGTTTGATGATCCGGTGCCCCACCACGGTGTGCCACCTCGCCCCCAGCGGCAGCCGTGGTGGGGCTCCACCCCGGTCCAATTATGCATTTACGGAAGGATTTTCGAGAAATCTTTTTCTCTTCTCTTCTTCTTTTCCCCCCTCGCCGCGACGGTGGGTTTTGCCAGGTGCTTTCTCGGTAATCCGACTTCAGAAGAGGCGTGGATCAAGGACGAAGATACCGGGTCGATTAGCGGCCCCGTCTTCAGCTGAAAGAGGTTTCAGGTTGTTCTGGCCTTCTGCGTAATAAGTGATGTACTATTCCGATTTTACGTAGAAGAAATAACGTAAAAACCCTGTTGAGACTCATGCTCAAAGTTAGACTTTTGCTTAAGACGGTTACCAAAACACCTAATGCCACAAAATTAAGCATATCAAGCAATAACTTAATGTACATTAAATTCACTACTTTCGTGGTCCGCTTGACCAATTAATATATTACAATTAATTAAGGTTTTTAGTTGAGATAAAAAAGTCAATGGCACGAGCGGGATTCGAACCCACGATCTTCGGCTAGATACGCCGCTGCTCTACCACTTGAGGTCACGATAGCTCAAGTGGTAGAGCAGCGGCGTATCTAGCCGAAGATCGTGGGTTCGAATCCCGCTCGTTTCACTGACTTTTTTATCTCAACTTAAAACCATAATTAATTGTAATAATGTACATTAATATTCATACAAATATGCGAATTGTTATTTAAAACGCATAAGGAAAAAATTAATAACTAGAATGTACAAAAAAAAAACCAGGACATACAAATCACCCAAGGATTGTAATCAATTAAAAAAGCAAAGCTATGTTCTGTATGTTACAACATTTTTATGGGTTTCAGCCCAGCTTTTAACTATTTGCTTCGGTAAACTGAAGAATGAAAAGTAAAGATAAAGTCTTACTAACCAAACATAAATCTAACCTTTTGGAGAGTTTAGATCGGTTCGAATAAAGCTAATAAAACTAGCAAGGCTGTGAATTTTACCTATTTCCAATTTTGGCAACAAGTTATCAACAAAAGACTGGAAAACCCCACATAGAAAATTTGATCAGAAATGGGCGGTTAAGACAAATTTACTAACCTCAACCATCCAAGAATCGTCTTACGACCTCAGCATAGTTATCACTATACGCTATCAATGTTAGTGTTTTTAGCACCATAAAGCTTCGGTACACTACATTCTACAAAAATCTACTACAGAAGTGTATATTTGGTAATCCATCCCTAACCATCCCTAACCAAGTGTATATTTGGTCAAAAATGATGATTTGAACACTAACCTCACGTTTCAAGACTTGCTTCACATCATCATCAAGCTTTGTAACTATAGTTGTGCGTTGTCAATGTTGAGAAGCTGCAGATTTGGCATCGTACGGCTGCAGAACCCAAACAGACTAAAACATCTCATGATAAAATGTTTGGTTAGCAAAAGACGGTTCAAACAGTAACATCAACGGTTCAAGATTCGTTTTATGACACCACAATGGTTTTGTAAGTTCAGGTTTACATATTGTCAATGTTGAGGAGCTGCAGCTTTTAAAAATCTAATGTTACATAGTCAAAACAGTTTATGGATACCATGAGGAGCTGCAGGCTTTGGTTCAAAACGGTTTCAGAACGCAAACATTCTATAAAAATTCATTAAAGCTTAGAAATGAACAATCTGAACACTAATCTTATGCTTCAAGACTAGTTTTACGTCACCACTATGGTTTTTAGTTCTGCGTTGTCAATGTTGATGAGCTGGGGGTATAAGCATCATAACGTTGCAGAACCCAAGCAGACCAAACCCTCAACGCTACAAGGCTTGTTTCTCAGCATCGCTATGCTTTTTAACTACAGTTGTGCATTGTCACTGTTGAGGAATAGAAATCAAAGGATTGCGGAAGCTAAGCAGACTAAAAACCCAAGACAGAAGTGTTTGGTTAGAAATGGACAGTTCGAACATTAAATAGGTTATAGCTTTACATTTTCAATGTTGAGGAGCCTGGGTATCATGAAGCACTGTAGGTCCCAAACAGACTAAAACATCCCATGATGTAAGTGTTTGGTTATAAACAAATTACAAAAAGACGATTCAGTCGCCACAATGATTTAATATTCGTTTTATGGCATCACAATGTTTTTGTAGGACAGGTGTTGAGACATTGCTAATGCTGAGGAGCTGCTAGGTTTGTTCTTAAATGGTTTCAGAACACCGACATTCTATACAAACCTATATGTGCATTTTCCATGTTAAGAAGATTTTAGCGTCATAAGGCTGCAGATCACTGACAAAAATTAATGTCACAAGAATTTTAGACGTTTTATACCTCTGTATTTTTTAGCCCAGTTTTACGTATTGTCATTGTCAATAAGCTGCACGTTTTAAATTCAAAGGACCACATAATCCAAACAGGCTACACAATAATACCACCTGCGTGTGCTTCTTGTCTGTTACATTTCTTTAGTAATAACTTAGTAACTTAATAATAATATTAAGTCCAATACGTGCTTTTTTGACATCTCATTCTTGTTGTTATTGTTGTTTTTATCACAGAACTGCATTGATAAATGTCAAGAAACTAGTCACTTTGGAATTCGAGTATAGAAGCCAAACGAGGACAAAAAATAAGTATTTGCTAACCGTTCACAAACGAATCGTAAAGGTGTAAGACCTATTTCACAACACCTCTACTGTTTTTAGCCCAGTTTTCAAGAACCTATTCACTTTGTTAGTTAAATTAATAATGGATGTGATTCAATCTTAAATAATCACTAATGAAAATGGAAAAAGTCGATTATTAATGTTTTACTTTTAAACCTAACCTTTACCTATTATAATAATAATTGTTGTTGATGTTAGAATTCCGCTTGTAGAAAACACCCATTCTTCAAAGAAATGGGGGTTTTCACCACAAAATACCGCTAACCATAATCATGGAAGAGTTTTATTACAAGTCTTTAACATACTTTCCGGATTATTCTCTTTGCTTTTATGTTTAAAATAGAAGATAATTTTCTAACCGGTTTAATTTTTTTCTCTCAATTTTACTAGAAAAAAAAGGAAAAGGATAAGTGTATAAAGGATTAGATCGAAGGACGGTGTTTAAAGCATAGCCATGGATTTATAAAAATTAACTAACTAGAATTATTTCGTATTTAATTTATTATTATATTTTGTGTTTCTGGATGCATTTTTTATTAATTTTATTGCGTCAATTGTGATCCTAAGCGATCACGTTGCTTAAGAAAATACACAGATTGTCAATTTGTTCTTTCTCGCTGTATAGCCACTTAGGATTAATGACTGCTCAAATTAACTATTATTTTTCAATTACTTTGAATTATTTTTTCATAGTGACGATTCCAATACAGATTTCACTCATCCTTCTTCAATCCAGCCGTTCATGTGTAATCTGATTCATCGTTGAACAATTAATTCAACAAGTGATTTAGCAATAAAATAATTGTTTGATCTTCAAACCACTATTGAAGTGTTTACTTTGATAATACTCTTTGTGGGTGTGGTTTTAAAACGCAAAATACTGTTTGGAATTACAACATTTAAGACATTTAAGCTTACAAAAATTCCACTCATGAATTCATAAAAGTAGCTGTATCCAATGATTTTTCATGTTCGCACTCATACAACTACGGTCAATTCTTCAAGCAGGCTGGGTTTAAAACGAAAAGATGGATAAACACGATATGACCCCTTTTCAGATATAGCAGAGTCAATAAATCCGAATCAGTGAAAACCTCCTAGACGCGCGATATCTCTATTGGACTTGTAGGAAGAGGAATGCGGGGGTTGTGGGATATATTTTGCCCAAATTGATTTTATGAGACGGCCCATTTGTTTTAACTAGTTAAAACTTGCCTAACTCAGGGGAATCGTTTACAATTTTCTCAACGGGCAAGCCCTTTCTACAAAACTTGCTCGAGGCATAATAAGTTATTTTTACAAGGAAATCGTTGTTTAATCTTTAAGGTTGTTTTTGCAAATATTGTATCATATAAAACCGGGTAAAAGACAATTTCCTACGATGTCATCCTGTTTAAAATTTTCTAGTAAATAAATTACATACGTACTTTTCAATTTGACATTTGTTTCCAACAATCGCACGTACATGTCATTCGACTTGTACCAGAATAATTAAGATAATTTATCTACTTAAGTGTCTTGTTTGCAGTAATGTGTTCAAAATAAAAATTGGCTCATTTAAAAGTACACCTAGTATTAGATTAGTAAAAAAATTTAACTGTTAAGTATACTTTTTTGTAAAAATAGTTTTGCTTCTATATTAGGTAGGTTTTATTTCTTTTAATGTCAGCTAGCTATCTCTGATTTAGTTTCTCTTAGATGCGACGGCAAAAAAGAATATGTTTGCTATTCAGATTAGATTCAAATCTGTTTTAACATTTACAGAAACTTGGGTGTTTTTTCTCGATATTTCGGGTTCAACACTACGGATCCAAAATACACAAATTAACTTAAGTGATTTGTCTGCAATACGTCTAGAATCATCGACGAGTTCCTTAAGGAAAAGCTCATTAAAGGAACGTTTATGCAGGTCATATTACAAACATTTTCCATTCACAGAGGTTTGGGTATTTTCATCTCAATACTTGAATTGCACGATCATTAAGAGATATTGATTTACTGGCCAATTATTGTTTGTGAACAACTGACAAGAAACATCCCTCTCTGATAGTTACTGAGCCAAAAATAATCCATCTACTGAAGCTGAGCCATCTCGATCACACTCGTTTCTGAAGAATTCAACGTACTCATAAAAGAAATCCGATTGAGATTTACAGAAACTCGAGTATTTTTATATCGATACTTGGCTATGGCTATATATATTATACGATTAACCAAATATTATTGTCTATTGTAATTCATCTTATTTGGTTCAAAAATACCGTAACAAATTGAGAAATGCCAAGGTATTGTCAATCAGGGCGAAAATATGTCACCATGACCATGTGCCAATCCTATATGCAGGGTGTTTCGTGTATCGATAATAGGTTTTTCAAAAGAA